CTTTGATTTTGGCTCTAGAATCCCAGCATCCTGAATTTTGATTTTGGCTCAGGTCACAATCTCACACTGCGGATTCTCGAGCCCTGCATCAGGCTCTCATGCTTGAACATGGAATCTGCTTAAAGATTTCTCTCTCTCTCTCTCTCTCTCTCTCCTTCTGCCCCTCTCCTTGCTTGCAAGCCTCTCTCTCTTCTCTTTTCCTTCTCTCTCTCTCCTCAAACTCAATAAATAAAGACTTCTCTGTCTTTATAATCGGTCGCGGTTTATAATATGTAAATGGTTATTTTAATATTTCTGGGAGAAAAAAGTTCAAACTTATAAAGCAATTTGAAAATCAACCATCAGTGATTATCGTGCGTAAATTTATAATAAAGGCTAGGGAAAAAATGATCCTTTTTTCCTCAAAAGAAATGATATTTAATGTTACTTCCAAATATTTAATAATTAAATGCTTGTACATTACATGGAATTTACAAGAAATATCTTCCTTATCTTCTAACTCCATCTGTTTTTTTCAAATAATTAAAACTAGAATGGAATTAGAAAAAAAATATGACATTTTAACAGAATGAGATTCCAAATTGCTCCACACAGTATACTTATTGTACATTGTTTTTCTCAGCTTTATTGAGGTTATAATTGACATATACTATTGTATAAATTTAAGATATACAGTGGATTTGATGGATTGTATTACAAGATGATTACTACCACTAGTGTTAACTAACACTTTATTATGTCACACATTTCTTTTGTGGTAAGAATATTTAAGATAGATCTCCCAGTACCAGCAAGTACATCATACAATATTGTTATGTAGTCATAGTATAAATGTGAGATCCCCAGAACTTATTCATCTTCTACCTGAAGTTTGTACCCTTGACCAATGTCTCCTATTTCCATCCTCTGGCCCCTGTAACTAATTTCTATTTCTATGAATTTGCCTTTTAGATTCCATATAAATGAGATCACACAGTATTTGTTCTTTCTGACTTATTTCAAGCCAGCGGCCCTCAAGATCCATTCATGCTATCACAAGCAGGATTTCTTTCTTTCTCATGGCTACATAATATTGTGTTGTGTATATATTATATATATATATATATATATATATATATATATATATACCATGTTTATACATACTATATAAAATGCAACAGAATATTACACATTATAGCTTTTAAAACAAATTTTTAATAAGGATTTCTTGAAAGAAAGAGAGTGTGATTGGGAAAGGGCAGAGAGGGGAGATACAGGCAGGCTCCAGGCTCTGAGCTGTCAGCACAGAGCCTTAAATGGGCTCAGACCAGGAATGGTGAGACTGCTGACCTGAGCTGAAGTCGATGCAACAACTTGACTGGAGCCTACCCAGGTGCCCTCATATACAGTGAAGTTAAAAAAAATTTTTTTAAGCTTATTGTGATGGTTGGAGAGAGAAAGGCAGAGTGCTAGTGGGAGGGGCAGAGTGAGAGGGGGAGACCCTGAGCGCCTCAGAGTCTCACATGGGGCTCAAACCCATGAAACTGTAAGATCACATATGAGCCAAAATCAAGAGTCTGACACTCAGCCGACTGAGCCACTCCAGGCACTCTGCAGATAGTTTTATACATTATCATATATTATGATATATGATCATCCTTATCTGTTCATCCATCTCATGGACTCTATACTTCCATACTTTGCTATTGTGTCAATGCTGCAGCGACCATGGAGTGCAGATGTCTTTTGATATAATTGCTTTATTTTCTTGCATAGATACCCAGAAGTGGAATGCTGAACTGCAGTGGTAGTTCTATTTTAAATTTTGAGGAACCTTGACACTGTTTTCTATAAAGATGGTGCTAATTTCATATTCCCACTTAAAAATAAAAGAATAGTTGTTTTCTTTTTAGGGATACATATTATTACTTATGAAAATCTGTTGGGATTCTGGACCCTTGGCTCAGGAAAAATGTGCACACACATATCACACACACAACACGCGATATTCTTTTACTTATCATCAGGGTAAGCCATGAAATCCCTAAAGTCAAAACCCTGACCTAGGAGCCCATGAAAGAGAGCAGAAATTCCCTTGCATTTATAACAGACTGGCATATGATATCAGCATGTTAATACTGAAAAAACATGGGAAAAAACCCCATGAAAATATTCAGTAAGTACTTACTTGTATTACATCTGTTCTAGCTGTCTCATGGTCCTAGGTATTCTGGTTCTATTTTTTTTTCAGTCTTTTTCTTTGCTTTTGAAATTTCATTTTCATATTCTCAAGCTCAGATAGTTCAGGTGTATCCACTCTACTATAAGCTCCATCAATGACATTCTTCATTTCGTTACGGCTGGTTTTGATCTCAGATACTTTTGATTCTTGCTTGTAACTTCCCCTTCCTTCTCATATTATCCTGCTTGTTGTTGCATGCTGTCTAATTTTCTATTAAAGATCTTACACACCTATGTTCTTTAGAATTCCTGGTCTGATAATTCCAACACACCTGCTATCTCTGACTTCTAGTTCAGACTTGTTCAGTCTCTTCAAACTCTGTTTTGTTTGTTTGTTTGTTTGTTTGTTTCTTTATTTTAGTAAGTCTTGTAATTTTTTTGTTGCAAGTGAACATGATTTATGAGGTGTGCCAGGTAAATTATTCCTTTAATGATAGTAAGGGTGGGAGGGTAAGTGTTCTTAATCCCATGATTAGGTCTCAGTTGTTTGGTGAGTTTGTGCCCATGGACTGTGAACTACTGCTTCCAATTTGTTCTCCTTCCTTTAGGGTGGTCCTGTGATGACGGAGAGAAGG